GCTGAATACTACGCTACGCAGTAGCCCCCCCCTCCCTCACTTCATGCCCTCAAGTCATTTTGTTTAATTTATTTTTATTTTTCAACGTAAGAGAGGTTTTTCCTACAATTCAAGCATACAATGATGTCCCAAGAGTGTAGGGTTTTGTAATTATGGCAGTTTTAAAAAGAAAATGTAAGGCGAATTTCAAGCTCTCCTCCACTCTAGTGGTGACATCACACACTCTTAAGCCTCAACGAGCTGCCCAATACACACTCATGTTAAAATCTGAAGAAAGCCTCTTTACCAAGCTCCAAACTAAGTTAAATATCTCAAAAAGTGTAAAAGATATGAAAAATCTGAAGAACAAGTTGTATAGCTGAGGGTCTTGTGATCATTTTAAAGTTGGAATGAAGTCTGTAGCTGAAAGTATGTGGAAGGAGAAACATTTGGCGCAAGGTGTGGGTAAAAGAGGATTTGAAGGTTCCTCCCATTGACTTCCATGTTAAAAAAAAGAGTTAAAAAAGCTGAATATTTTGAAAAGTATGAAATATTTTGAAAAAGTTGAACGTTTCCCATCGATTGCTGAAAAGGCTGAATAGTTTGATATTCGAATGGTTTCTGTAGCTGAAAGTATGCTGAAGTTAATCGACGGCAAAGTATTGGTTGAAATAAGAATAAAGATTCTAAGAACTGTAAACAACATTCGCACTAATAAGAAGATATAAAGATTTGAAGAACTATAGGAAATAGAAACCGTCAACTAATATGAATTCTGACGTCCTGGGTTGAAAATATTCAAACTACAAATTCAATATGTACTCCAACTGCAGCAACATTACATATTTCAATGACCTGTTTTCAGTAAGAACTAAATGTGCCTGATGCTGAATGCCACTGGCAGAAATCATGACAGTTAGCTACGGTCTTTTTTACAATAAGAAAATCACTTAATTGTCAGGATTAATAACCATTTTCCAACCATTTTAAACAGTTTGTGTGACACATTCTAATTTAAAAAAAAAAAGGAAACCAAGCATTTGTGGTGGCCGTCTTTTACTTGAATATGAGAGCTTCCTTCTGCTTTTTCTGGCTGCTGGTTACTTTTTTGCAATATGTGCTATTCATGTTAATTCATAGGGCAACCTGTGCCCAAAACAGGAGCAACTTAACGTAAAAAAACAATCTTTTTATGTATACTTAGTATAAAAAACACATTTCATTACAGTTAAACAGTAATTTAGGGAAATGTAACCACAGTCCATACAGTCACATGATGCTACATTCATCACCTCAATGTATTATCACATGTAGAAGTCTAACCTTCTAATATTCCCTCATCTGACACTTCACTTAATTCTGTTATATAAATCAAACAAGGGGCCCCGCTCCTCTTCTTGCTGTGCGTGCATGTGTGTGTGTGTGTGTGTGTGTGTGTGTGTGTGTGTGTGTGTGTGTGTGTGTGTGTGTGTGTGTGCATGCGGGCTGATGCCTTAGCAGTCTATTCAAATTACGACCAGAAAGCTACCAGCATCAGTAATCATCACTCTCTTCTGACGAGGAGTGTATCATGCTGTCGTCGCGGTAACACCGGGACAGTAGGCGCAGCTCCTCCAGGGCCTCCCTGTAGTCGGCCATTTCGGGCCCCTGGGAGAGGAAGCTGGGGGCCACGCGGCAGATGTCTAAAGTGCTGGCTCCGCGATGCATCTCGGCCAGCCAGGAGCCGAGCGATGTGGAGGACTGGAGGGACGTCATGACAGGGGCCGAGGAGACCACCGGGGCCGGAGCTGCAGAGGAAGGGAGGGAGAGAAGGTTGCCGGTTTTATTACCCGAGCTAAAATCCCTGTGTTCCCTCCAGGGGGAGTTTCTCTCATTTTGATCTCAAAGTGCACGAGATTGCTGCATTTAACTTCAGAATGCAACATTTTGGTGGACTTTTCCAGTTGTTTTTCATCAATATATTATAGGTCTCAGATATATACAAAACATGTCTCTGAAGTGTTTGGCAGAAACACCAAACAGATCACCATGCCTCATACCCCTCAGTGCTGATTCTGGGTCCTTAGCTTAAAAAAAACAGAAAAGAAAAAGAGGAGGCGCTTGTGCCTGCTCAGAATTCTACCGAGTTACTCAGCTAAATGCTGCCGTGATTAAACGCCATATCATGTTCCTAACCCCATCACGGATTACTTCTGAAACAGTATGGAGCTCAAACGCCTTTTGGCGGGTTTTTTCTCTCTGTTTACCACAAGGTGAGTTATTTTTTTATTTCCTGCTTCTTTTTTTTTACACATACTCTCTCCAGTACAGGTTAACTCTGAGTGTTAGCGATGCTTGCTAATGTAAACAAAGACCATATTACGTCTAAAACACGTTGCGCATTGTTTTTGATAGCGACGTTCTACC